CCCCCGGGGGCGCGCCGGAGCCGGCCGGGGAGCCGCAGGGGCCGCCCCCCGCTGCCGAGGGCCAGCGGGAGCCACGGAGGGAGGTGGCGGAGCCGGCGCGGGAGCAGAGCCGGGCGCGGCGGGAGCAGGAGGTGGAGGAGGAGGCCGACATGAAGGCTGTGGCCACCTCGCCCGACGGCAGGTTCCTCAAGTTTGACATCGAGCTGGGCCGCGGCTCCTTCAAAACGGTCTACAAGGGCCTGGACACCGAGACCTGGGTAGAAGTCGCCTGGTGCGAGCTCCAGGTAAGCACGGGCTCCGGGGCCTGGCAGCCAAAGTGCCTGTGTCTCATCCAGGGATTCTGCTCTCCTCATTGTGGATTCTCCCCTGTCTGAGGGTTGTATGGCATCCTTGCAGGCTCCCACACTGCCACAGTCTGTGCACTCCTCCTGGCCGGTGGGGATTGGACCTGAGCGCCCAAGCTGCTCTCTGTGGCATGGGCAGCCTGGGCTGTTAGCTGAAAAGGGCTGGGCAGTGCAGTGTGAGGGAGAAAGCATGGGGGTGATGGCACGGATTGGAGGGCAGGTGTGTTGAGTTCCTCCAAGCTGAGGCTTCTCCCATCTGTATCTTGGGTCAGAAGCCATCTAGCTAGCAGGTGTACACTTAAAATAAATACATTAGGGGGCTTAAACTCCTGGTGAAGAAGAGAGGATTGCTGCGCTACAAACAGGACACCTTTCTAGTAATGAAGCCCTGCTGTCATTTCTATCCTCTTCCTTCCCTCAACTCCCCACTGGAAAGCCTCTGCTCTGAAAGGGTTCTTAAGCTGTCAAACACTCAGAGGTGAACGTCAGAGTGCACTTTTTTTTTAATGGGATGTGACTTCTTCATTTCTTTTCCTGGTAATTAAGTGTTTTGTTTAAGTCCGGAGTGAAACTAAAGCCTTATGATCAAGTAAAGCCTAATGTTTTCCCATACCTCTAAGTACTGTAGCTGGTATAGGAGAGAACTCCCAGATTATAGAATTCAACCTCGGCTTCCTTTTTGTTTTCCTGTAGTAAGTTTATGGCTGTGAAAACGAAGTTCTTGCAACAATTTCTTTTCTCAGGCATGATATTGATGCGCCTTCTCCAGCGTGGGTTATAAACATGGGTCTTTTTTGATGAAGTTTTGGCATCTTTCATAAGTTCACCTAGGTTCTTAATGTGCACTTTCATGAGACCTATGCTCTTATGCCTTTTTTTCTTTTCCTCCCTTCCCTTTTGATCAGTTTTTCTAGACTCACTTCATCTCTGTTTCATAGAATTAGCTGGGGGTTCACAACTGTATCTTAGGTTATGAGTCTGTATTCACTAGGCAGCCAAAATTCTCAGGAGCTAGGTGTTGTGGGTTGTAGTGGTATCCAAGCACAGCTGGTGAACAATGAATGGAAACATTGATTCTGAATATTCATGTGTGTTTTACACTGAGAAACAACTTTATTCTCATGTGACAGCCACATGAGCAGATGCACAGCCTAGTTGTTCTCCCAGATGATTTGGTTGTACGGTGTAGTTGCAATTCATTGTAATCCCGGAATGATTTAAAAAACCATGCAGGAAATGCTTCTCAGTCTTCACATGAATGTTTCTTTGTCTAATAGGAACTGGTGAAATAAAGAGCCCAGCAATACTGGCTGGGCAGGTAAGAGGCCTTTTGAGTGAGAACTGTGGTGTGTTGTAACATGGAGGCTAGGTAGAAAAAGAGTTGGGTGAGAGAAGAGCCTAGGATTGTGCATGTTGCTGTATGAGAAATGCAGGAGCAGCTGCAAAATTGGAAGGGATTTTTCTGTAAATTACTGTTGGGATATTATGGAAAACCAAAGTTATTAAGCAAACTTGACTTGAATGTGTTGTGAAAGTTCTGTCATAACATAATGGTCACAGATGTAGAAATAATTTTCCTGTCAAAATTCTCTCAATTGTACTACTAATTGATTTTGGTTTTTTGGGGGTGTCTTTAATGGATTGAACATCCTGACTTGAAAAGGTTATGTCAGGAAATGGAAAGGTAACTTCCAATTCAAGCTCTCCAGAAACGTGTATAATTGGGTGCAGAAATCTATACTATAACATTCATTGATGCTACTTCCTTTCCCTCCTGCTTCATTTGTCTAGGAAATGATGATGCAGTTTTCTGTGAAAGCGTTAAAGGGTTAAAAACCTTTCAACTACAGTTCAAAATGTCTCCTTGTGAAAGGACTATCTGTAATCATTATTTTCTCATTAACTTTCTTTATATAGCTCTAGTTTCAAATCTGGTGTTGCCACTAAATGTTTATTTCTCCATTTCTCACAGAGTTCTGTAGAGCTCGTCTAACTTTTGAGGGGAAAGTCTAGTATTTTTGACCAGACAAGTACAAGGAAAACAGTTAGAATTTATCAGATTACTTATGTCTGCCACTCCTGTCCATGTCAATTAGTTGTGCAGATTTGAAGGTAGTGTTGAAAGCCAGATAACATGAGGTTGTACTTAGTTACATTTTCAGTTTTCTGGTGAAAGCCAGCATTTCTGTCTTGTGAATAAAGTGTAGCTGAGTGACAACCACAGGGTTTTCTTATTACAATGTCAGACCTACGTTCTCAGCATGTTTTGAAAGAAACAAATCGCCAGCCACATAGGCAAGTGGACTTTGTATTGTTCAGTGGAATTTGAGTTGTATCATACTCATACAATCTAATTCAGAGTTCTTATTGTGGAAGCATGGGAGTGTAATCTAGGTCTGAAGCTGATGCATCTAATTGTTTTTGTACATTTCTACATGTACATGTCAATTACTCTACCTAGTTGTAGGTGTTACTGAGTAAGAACATTCAATTCAGCTAAGTTAAAAAAGCAAAAACAAAAGGAAAAAAAAATCCCTGGTAAGAAACCACAAATACCCTAGTGTTGAAACCGTAAGATGGCTTCCTTGATAGTTTTATACCACAGAAAGCAATCGGAGGGCCTTGTTACATAGCTGCATTTAAATGTTGCCTTCCTATCTAGTCTTTTAGGGGACACATACACCTATGTACTTATCTTTTTTTCTTTTTCCCAAAGAGTAATTGAAGTTTTCCATGCTGAACAGTTGCTCTCATTCAATCCTGGCTACAGTGAATGCAGTCAACAAAACTAAATAAATTGTGGGAGGCTTTTTATTAAAGTATGATCGTATCGCAAGTATATATGAGACCCAGAGAATGAAAGGCAATGGAATACCTTTTGCTGCATGTAATTTGATTAGCTTTCAGTGAAGGCTTATTGAATATAATGCGGAGTAGGAGAAACTTCTGCCTTTGAAAGATATATTATAATAAATAGGACTCTTTATATCTGGCTCTTCCCTCCCCCTGAATTGTGTATGTAGATGCTCCCACCTTAGCTCCTTTGCTGTACCATATCACCAGATGTAGGACCAATGATCAGAAGGTGAGGAGGGAAAGGGGGAAATCTACAGAACCTGGATGCAGCAACAGCCAGAACCATGGGGGAATGGCTTCCAGGTAGGATTCTGGGAGCTGCACATTAACCTCAGCCCCTTAGGGACAGCCCTGCTCTGGACAAAGGCTTTGTGTATATTGTATTTAAGTTCACCAAATATAGTCCGACTGAGAAATTTGGGGAAAGGAAATGGATTTTTCCCTAACCTACCAAAAATGTAATTCTTCAGTCTTGAAGGATTTTGTTTCATAGGAGAGTGGTTAAAGTTGGAATCTGATTATATTTTAGGTTTCAGATTAAAAGCTTAGCTGGAGCTAGGTTTTGGTTTGGTCAAGCTAAAATATGAAAATTTTTAGTAAAATCCAAACTAGAAAATAGTTTTTTTGACTTCTGAAAGGACAATAGCTGTTTCAAAGTAGTGTGCATCCTAACTAGAGTCTCTATTCATTGAGTCAGGAAGCTGGGTTTTGCTGGCCGAACAGCGGTAGAGTAAACATTCTTGCTAGGTAGACACAGGCTTTCAGACTCTTCAAATTTTCATCTAATTCCCCTTTAGGGACCTGTAGAGAAATCCAGGGGGAGTCGTAAGTACAAAACTACATCAATGATAATGCCTCACTCCTACTTTTCAGTTCCTGTTTGATTCTACTTATGAACCTTGATAGCTGGAGGTTCTTGTCTGTAGCTCCCCTGATGCAAACGTAGTAGAGAGAGAGTATTCTTTGCCTGAAAAGATCCAGAAGAAGGGTGCTTATGAACATTATTAAAGCACCCCCTTTTTTACAGTGGTTGTCCAATATCAAAGGTGGCTATGTGTGATCTACTTTTTTTTTACTTAGTTATGTTTGTTTACTGCTAGTGTGTCTGGAGTGCATGAAGACTAAATATCCTGACAACAATGCATGGCATATTCTTAATGTTCACTGGAACAAATCTTCTCATTAGGACTCTGGCTGTACATTGGTGGCTCCTAAATTTTACCTGAAAGAGCTTTGGAATTTAACTCCTCCCCTCCAACTCTCCTTCCTCAATTCCTCCCTATTCCAAATCTTAATTCCAAATTCCATTGCTTACTTAAGATTGCACTTGCAACCCAACAGAGATCTGTGTCTGAGCCCCTTCTACATGTTATAGTCATCACACAATTAACTGATTAATTGCACAATTACCTTGAGACCAGCTACACTGCAAAGTGCCTGTCACATCATAAAAAGCTCCAACCAGCTATAAAGTTGGACATAAAAAACATATACTAACTTTAGAGCTGGTTGCTATTGAGCTTTAATTTGCACAGGTAGCAGGGGCTCCCCTGTGGCTGGGAACCATGGCCAACTACAGCTAGGAGTCCTGCAACTGATGGATGTCTCAGCCCCATCAGCTGCCAACTCTGGGCCCCAGGTGTGTGAAACGCCCAGTACTGGGAGATCATGGTTTCTGCAATCTCTGTCCTGGGGGTTTCACACATTCCAGGGGCTGGGAGACTACAACAGCTGCACCTCCTAGCCTTGTGGGGAGCATTGGGTAACTTGCAGCTGAGGGGCTCCTGGCTGCTGGAGCTTGCTTTTTGCCAGTGGAGAGGGAGCCTAGGATTGGGCTTCCCCTGTACTGGCAATAACATACTATGGGATCAAATGTGTGATCCCACAATCTTGCTTCTTGCCATGCATTTGTGGCACAGCAGGTGATGCAATTGTGTGGCTTGCGCATTAGAATCTATTGTACCTTTATCTGCATGTGTAGAATAGCCTTAAGTATAGTGTTGATCCCATGCTGGGTACTGTTTTATAGAACAATGTCATCCTACAATGGCAACTTTCTGTTGTGCTTGCTTACATCCCAGTTT